GAAAGGCAGTGTGCAAGTGTGCACACACACCAGTGTGGGACCAGTGAAGAATATATGTGGTGGTGCACAAGAGTTCACATGGCCATGCAGAGGCTCAGGACAAGAGCCACCTGCCACAAACTGGACACCACCTTTGACATTTATGCATGCTGAAACGTCTGGCCATGACAACTTCCCAGGGCAGAGACAAAAGGGCCATTTCTGGAAAGGAACCAAGGCCAAGGGGGCAGAATTCACCCTATAGCACTTTCCAGCATCCTGCACACCCCAAACCATACCCCGGGCCTCAGTGGAGGTCAAGCTCCTCAGGGAGCCCTGGTGTGGACAAGGAGGAGGACGCAGCCAAGCTACTGAAAAGATCCCAGACTGGCAGAGGGGCCCTGCAGGGGTGAGGAAGGAGGGACTGACCTCGGATGATGCTGAAGAGCTCCTCGATGCGCAGGCTGGCATAGATGCGGTAAAAGAACCTTTGCACGTGGCAGCGCCATCGGCGCAATGTATTTCCAGCCTCAGGGGATGCAGCCCGAGCGGGGCCATCCTGCAGGAACACCTTCCCCAGCCAGCCAACCACCCTCTCGATCCACTGTGGGAGAGCACTGGTAGGTGAGGTATGGGGATGCTAAATAAGCCCTGCCCAAACCAGCCACTACCCACCCTTTGCCCAAAGTTGAGGGGAACCCAGAAGGGGCTTGCAACAGGAGAACGTAAGAACACTGAAACTTGTACCCAACAGGTGTCCCTGATCCCATCAACCTTCACGTCCTCTCATATACATCAGTGTCCGCTCCTGTCTCTGGAAACAGGAACCCCCGTGTGACACAACTGCACATAGCCTGCCTGCAGTGTCTGGCAGGTAGTGGGCAGACCCACTCTCAGGACTTTAGATGTGACAACCAAGCCCCCACTCCTGTGTAAAGGAAGCAGCATAGGATGAAGTCATCTCATAAATACGTGTAGATCCATGACAGGCCACATGGTAGCACAGACCAACCAACCACAGGACCACTTACAGTTCACCTTCTCCACCCCAGGGCACCCATGCCCCCAGGGCTCATGCTCACTCTAGGCCACCGCAATGGGGACACTCACTTTGAACACCCCCCATGTGACTTATCTATATCCTTAGGACACAGATGCCTGCAAGTAGTGGGGAAGAGGACATGGGAGAAGCAAGAATAGAACCACAGAAAACCAACAGCTTGCGCATCCTGAGCCCCACTGGGACACCCCAGCGCCAGGATAGGGTGCAAGCTGGTGTTAGGTCAGTCCACTAGGGAAGTCAGATGAGCCCACGCTCGGGTAAAAAAGGCAAAGAAGAGCGGTTCCGGGCATCACCCTCACCAGGAAGCCTGGCTTTGCTGACCCTGCCAGAAGGCCCTAAGAAATCTGGACTTTGTACTGCCTTCAGCCACAGCATTCAGCACAGACCTGTCAAACACATGCCAGACTCATCCTTGCTAATGTCATGGCATAGAAAGACAGACCTCTACTTAGCACCAAGGCAGCTTTAATTACCTACTGCTCAGTCATGGTCTACCCAGGACTCCCACTTAGGTTGCTTCTCAAGCCAGGGGTCAGGTTTGCTACACACCTGTTCGCAGCCCTAGCAGGGCATGGCTCAAAGCAGGGAATCCTTACCTTGTGGAACTCACGCAGGAAGGAACGCTCATACTCGCCCCGGCAGCGGTCCTCCATCCTCTCCCGAGTCACCTGATGCAGGGTGGTGGTCACTGCCTCTGCACTGACCCGCTCCAGCAGACTGAGCCTGTGCCTAGAGAAAAGCCCTGCCCATGGAGCACCCACAGCATACACCTGCCCCTCACCCAGGATGGCCCCGCTTGCAGAACATATGGCCGGGGATTTAGCTCAGTGGTTCCAGCGCCTGCCTCGCAAGCACAAGGGCCCAGGTTCGATCCCCGGTACCAAAAACAAAAAAAAAAAAGAACACAGCCAGTGCTCATATCCCTGCAGCCCTCCTGGACCAGGGAAGACTGTACCAATGGCTGCAAGGAAAAGCTGCTGGGAGGACAGGGCACTGGCAAGGCGCTGCACTTCCTGCTTGGATGGCCATCCCCATGTGACCAGCGTCAGCAGGTAGCTACCAGAATTCAAGTCTTGGCTAGTGACAGAATCGATACTTCACTCCCTGCTGCACAAATTACAGCGGATGATGACTAAATTTTCAGGCAGAGCCCAGTCTACAGTGGCAAATAGGACTTGGAAAAAGAAAGGTTGCCATATAATTTTCACCTGATATAAACCCGGCAGAAACCATTAGCATTTATGCGTGTTGAAACATCTGACTCCCACCAGTAACATCATCACCCCCTCAACCATCTAAGACTTCCAGCTATAAAAAAATAGAATCAAGTCTGAAATAATGCCTTTTTAATTGTATCCTCTAGTATTACAGATGTAGGACAGTACTGTATCATACCTCTGTGAATGTAAAATATCTTGTACCTGCTTTATGATATGTAGCAGTGACTGTGCTTTATCAGAGCTGTTTTTAATGATGTTACTCTAGAATGTTTTCTTTCCAGATGATGATTAAGATGCTAATAAAAAAAATGGTGCCAGGTACCACAACAGTAACAGAACTTTGCTGTTTTCTGGGTATTATTCTTTTATTTTTTGTTTTTGTTTTTTTAATGGAGTGTGCTGGATGTCTATAGTTTTGTTCAGATGACTGAAGAACCTGGAAAACCTGTTGCTGCTATTGATGCATAACATACTGCTATTATTGGTCTTTTTATAAAAAAAAAAAAATATATATATATATATATATATATATGTATACATACATATACACACACACACACACATACATATACATAATTTGAATTTTTGGAAATTTTAACTGTGCTGTCAACTTTGGAAAAAGTTATCCCAGTTTACTGTGTTGAGTTGGCATTGTACAGAAATTAACAGCCATATTGGTCTAGAAATGTTCATTTTTTTTTTTCCATTTGTACAGGGGTAACTCACTGTATTAAATATGTAAGGTCTTATCTACGTGGGTTTGATTACAGAAACTAATATTCTCCAAATAATGAAAAAAAAAATAAAAGACTTCCAGCTATATTACTGCACTCTACTCAGCATGACAAACAAGTTGCCACAGAGGGCGTGACAGTGCCTGGAGAGTTACAATGGGACCTGGCTCTAACAAGATCTCCTCTCTGAAGAACTGGGAAGGAAATCTGCATGCTCATACACTGGTTTAATTTCTCTGACACATTCTGGAAAGGAGAAATAGCGAGCCCATTGTTCATTTAGGAAGTAGAAACTCCCAGGAAGGTGGGCATCATTTTTCTCTCAGAGAGTCTACAAAAAGAACAGCAGATTTCTGCAAAGCCCATGAAATTTGGACTCAAATCTACTACTGCAGACGTAAGCTATGTGGGATGTTAGCAAAGGCAAAGCTGAAACCCTGGGGAAGGTGTGTCAAAAGAAACACACTTGTGTGTTGGACAGAGCGTAAACCTGCTAAACAGGGATCCTTGGGGCCTTCCCTCTCTCATGTCCCTGGCTCTCAGAACACGTGGAAGAGAGACCAACTTTCCTAGTCAGCTCACCAGCTCTCTGTAGAGGATGATTCTAGAGGAGCAAGCAACAAATCAGGAGGGACAAGGGCACAGCCACCAGGCAATACTCACAGGACTTGGCTGAGCTGGTGGAACTGCTCCAAGGCCTGGCGACACCAGCACTGCTGCTTGTCACTACCACATCCTGCACACAATGGGCTTTGCAGGAGCCGATAGTACCGGCGCCGGGCATAACGGCTGTCCAATTCTCCTTCCAGTTCAGGGTCTGTGCCCCCTTCCCCTTTCCTTTTACTCTGCATGTAAACTCTCAGGAAGCGCCCATAAAGGCGCTGGACCATCTCCTGGAAGGTCCGGGGGGTGGAAAAGAACAGGACTCCCCGCAACATGGTGTGAACCTTCTCTCGCAGCCCCTGAGCACCAGTGCCCATCAGCAAGCCCAGGCGAGTCCATTTCTCCAAAAGGTCTAGGCTACGCAAGTAGGGATCCAGGCGGCTCTCCAGCAAGCCAAAAGCGTCAAGGAGCAGCAGAAGGCCCTGGGGTTCGTCAGCAGTGTTTTCGCGCTGGGAGATGGCATTCCAGAACTCTGGGGAGATGTTGGCCTGCAGGTCGCTCTGCAGCACCTCCACGAACCACTCCTCCAGGACGGAGTGCAGACCGTGGCCCCTCAAAACCTCCACAGCCGCACGGAGCTCCTCCTCCTTTGGCGGAACCGCACCGCTAGTCCGCGAAGATGCCTGCAATATAGAAAACGGTGTGGAAAGAGATGGGGAGAGGCGGGGGAGGGACGCGGCCGAAGGGAGGATGCAAAAACCCCAAGCCCCACCCGCACCCGAAGCTAGAGAGGCCTGCCAGGGAAGCTGAACGAGGAGGGACAACCGAAGGAGGAAGGACTGCTGCGGTCGGCGAGCCAAGTCGGGTGGAACCCAAATAGGACGCCCCGAAGCGCGCAGGGTCCCGGGAATTCCACACGGGCCCGCCGCTCTTTTCCAGAGCCTCACCAGCCCCAGCAGAGCCGGCGGCACCAGCCCGGTGCTCACGGTATTCCAGGCCACGAACAGTTCCTGTCCAGGCCCGGCGCTGCCGTCCCCAGACATCGGCGTCGCCACATCGGCGGCTTCCTCAATCTCCATCCGCGTCCACTAACTTCCAAATCCGCCCGGCGCGGCGCGGAGGGATGACGCAAAGCTTAGGCGGTGCATAAGAATGACGCAC